TTTATAAGGGACCTTGCTCATCCTAAAGTGATTTGACTCTCAGCCTTGTTGAGAGGAAGGGAAAGGGAAACAAAAGCATTTCCATCTGACCAATGTGCACACACACAAACACACAGACACACACAAACACACACACTCCCCGCTGTAAGGGCCCCTCTAGCGTCACATCCCCTACTTCTAAATACTCAGGTGTGTGCGTATTCAGCTGTGACTACTTACCTGTTTTTCAGTTTGTGAAGAAATATGGGAACATTCTTAGCCTGGACTTGGGGAACATATCTTCAGTTGTTATTACGGGATTGCCCCTGATCAGAGAAGCCCTTACCAACATGGGCCAAAACTTTGTGAACCGCCCTGTTTCCCCCATGCGAGAACGCATCTTTAAGGGAAATGGTGAGTGTCTGGGTCAATGGAAGGTGTGTGTTTCGTGTTCTTGTGGTCTGTTAGAGGTGCCTTTGTGACACCATCCATGGTGGTAATTTTCCACCATCCCCCAAACCAGCCCCACCCATTATAAACACTCTGCCATTGATGGAGGCTGGATGCCCACATTTCATGATTAAAGTCAGTCCGTCAGAGGACCTGACAGGGCCAGACCTATGAGTGACTGAGGGCAAGTGATATGTCCTACAGAAACTCACACCGGCTGCCCTTCTAATGGAGGGACCACGTCACCCGGTCATGGCACAGGGAGAGGAGATGTCCACTGATCCCACGCCTCCTGCAGCCCCCTCCCTTGGGAAGTGGGCAGGGGTCTGCTTCCTTCTGCTGCTGCTCTGGTCTCCTGCTAATGAAGGCCATGCTGCAGCGGGGGTGTCCAGTCTTCCAATTTATGTTTGAACAGATTGAAATGTGTGCTTAAAATAATAATTAAAGACACTCACACATTTAAAAATTGCAGTGAAATCTCAAATCTACTACTCAGTCAAAGCACCATTTTTTAGGTGCTTCCCAGTTCCTCTTTGAAATATTAATTAATTAATTCTATACCCATTCAATATATTATCAGCCATGAGAACCCTGGAGCTAGACATGTGTGATATAACCACAAGTAGAACAGATAAAATCTATGTCCTAGGTAACTTCTATTCAGAGAGAAAGACAGGGTCAATTCACTGTAATAATCTAAAGCAGGAGTGTCCAACCTTTTGACTTCTCTGTGCCACTTTGGAAGAAGACGACTTGTCTTGGGTCACATGTTAAATATATAACACTAATGAAATCTGATGAGCAAGAAAAAAGAAAGTCCCATGCATAATTTTTGTGATATCCACCAGCACAGATAAGGAGAAAAACCCTCACATAATAAACCTAATAACAGACAACGTCCTGGAAGATGAATGTAAAACTGCTATAAAACTGAAGCCGTGCTTGTGCTACAAATAATGGAGTGTAGTATGTTTGTTGTATGTGACATTGTGATACAACTTTGTCATCTGCAGAGTTCATGCTCGAGAACCACATCATCAAGTTCCACTAAACAATAAAAAAATTCATAATGTTTTAAGTATGCTTACAAGTTTAGGTTCGGCCACATTTCACAGCCATCCTGGGCTGCATGTGGCCCACGGGCCGCAGGTTGGACACCCCTGATCTAAAGCCTATATTATGAATATGAATGCAGGATGCATTTAATGTAGTCCTGGCGTTCAAGAATAGTTCATTTAATAAAGTAAAGAAAGAATCAAGCAGAGGGAATGAACATAAAAACTATAAAACTATAAAACTATAAAAGTATGAAGGACAATGATTTAGAGGATTTGGAAGGTGGCCTAAGTGGCAATCACAGGGATTAAAAAGGAAAAATTAAGTGAAAGTGAAGCTGATGAGCTTGGCCAGGAATTGTTCATCAAGTTCTTATTAAGGATGTTGGTTTTCATCCTAATAACAATCGATGTGTTAAGGAAATTATCGTATTTATTCTGTACCTTTTTAAAACTTATTTAGGCTGTCACTTAGAGAATGGAGTAAAAAGAATAAGAGATTTTGGAGCCTTTTAGGTTGGCAACTTCAATCAAAGGAGCTGCTGAGAAATGACAGTAGGTTAAACCAGGATATGGTGGCAGTGAAGACATGTGGGCTCGGGATGTCTAGAGGGTAAATCTAAAGGAAATGATGGGCTACAGGCGGGGAGAAGGGGATGTGGAGGACATACCCAAATGGGTGGAAGATGAAAAGAAGGAAAACTTAGAAAAGGACAGGGTTGGTTTGCTGTGGTTGGGCGTGGGTGGGGAGTTGTGGGGGTAAAATCATGAGAGTTCAAGCATGGACATGCTCAGTTGGGAATTCCCTTACAGCTGCAAAGTCAGGCAGTTATCACATTAATAAATATGAGTCTAGAACTCAGGGACAGAAACAGATGGTCAGCTATTTAGTAGGTACAGCTATCGGTACAGCTATTTAGTAGGTCATTAAATAGGAAAGGTTAGATTTCAAATCAAAAGTTTCATTTCTTATATCTCAAACAAGAAGCTGTATACTTAATCAAAGTGTGCGTCTAATCTACCGACATAGTTTTGCCATCTTAATGGTAGCTTATTTATGCTAGCAATGAAGAAGCCTGCAGAGTGAGTGGAGATGAAATCATAAAGTGTGTTTTCCACGGTTTGTTGAGAATTGAAGATTTTTTCTTCCCTTCAAGAAGTGGTCCAAACCTGGGAGAAGTGGTAGACAGCTGGTGGAAGGTCTGGTGAAGATGGTAGATGACAGAGAGACTTCCTAAGTCCAGCTTCTGTAGCTCGAGCAGTGTTATTTATGCAACATGTGGTCAAATGTTGTCTTGCAAGAGAATTGGTCTGTTTCTACTGACCAGTCTCAGCTGTGGAATCACAAACATCACAAACATCCCCATCGTGTTGTCCATTTGGTTACCATGGACACCCACTGTAATTGAATGACCAAGTTTCATGAAGCTGTAGTAGATAGTCAGCGCGCTAGACTACCATTTTGGAACTGTGTTTTGGCACTTCATCTTTATCTAGCCATTGTACAGAATGCTTGCAATTGTCAAGATTGTCAAAAAGAATCCAATTTTCATCCCATTTAACAATCTGGTATAATAATGGTTTACCTTTATGTCGTGACGGCCAAGAAAGGCAGGTTCAAGATGATTCCAGCTTCTTTACTTTACCAATTTGTTTCAAATGGTCCAATATTATTGGAATAGTAACGTCAAACTTTGCTGCTAATTTACCAGAAGTTTGAGATGGATTCACTTCCATTGCAGTTTCCAGCTCATCATCATCCACTTTGGTCTCATGTCATGCCCACATGACTCATTTTAAAGATTAAAATCATCAGAATGGAATTTCTCAAACCATCAACACGCTGTGAATTCATTAGCCACGTCCTTCCAAGTACCGCATTGATATTTACAGCTATCTGCCCTTCAGTGATTCCATCATGGATTCATATTTTAAAATAACATCAATTTTTGACTTATCCATAGTTTGATAAAAAATGGCTCTAAAAAATTTAAGAAAATTGGACACTTCTTACTTAAAATAAAATTTTAGGAAGTGATAAAATTTCTCAGAAATGGAATGTGGGGTGAGAAGAAGTGAGGCAGAGACTGAATTTTGAGGACCCCCACTATTTCAGTATGTAATAGAAGAAGTTGAACGAGAAGAAGATATGAGAAGTTGCTGGCAAAAAATTAGGAGGAAAATCTGGAGAGTGTGGTATCCTTAGCACCCCTGGAAGGGAGTGCTTCCACAAAGAAGGGTCACATGCTGCTGAAGGATCTAGTAAAATGGGGTGTAAAGGTGTCCCTGGACTCGACAGCAAGGAGGCCCATTTCACTGGGTGATGGAGGCCAAAGCCAGGTATCAGAGGTGAGCATTGCTCTGGCAGCAAAGAGGTGGAAAGAAGCGTGGTATTATCTGTGTTGTGAAACAGATGATGGTCTGTGAACACATCAAGATGTTTTTTGCCCTTTGCCTGTATTGTTTTTCTGTATGGAATATTCACTCCTTCTTGCTTTCTTGATTTATTCCTCTAGCTTTTAAGGTCCTGCTTAGACAGGAACTCTCCTTTCTTTGCCTCCTTATTATATGGACTTTGTCTTTTCCATAAATGAATTGCAGGCATGTAGTATAACATAAAGACGTTACTTATGTAGCTAATAATTAAAACATGTGCTTTAGGATCAGGAAGGCCTGAGCTTAATGCTTCTTTACCATTTTACTAATTCTGTGCCCTTATGAAGTTTACTTTATCCTCTGGTTCTCAGTTTTCTCATTAGTAAAACCAAGGAGGGTAATAACTGTACCTACCCCATGAAATTTCTGTGAATACTAAAGTACTGAATGCATAACAGTATTCACTAATTATCTAACATGCCGGGCAATCAGTTGTGTCCTCTGCTTTGGGGTGATTGCTCTGAGCAGTTTTCAGGGGCCTTTATTCCCTTCCTCTTCCCTCTGTCTGACACACATCCTCATACCATTTGCTGGATGCTCACATTACTGAAGCAGAATACCATCATCCTGACTTTCTCTTCCCAGGATTGATCATGTCCAATGGCCAAGTATGGAAGGAGCAAAGAAGGTTCGCCCTGGCGGCACTGAGGAACTTTGGCTTAGGGAGGAAGAGCTTAGAGGAACGCATTCAGGAGGAGGCCCACCACCTCGTTGAGGCAGTAAAAGAGGAGAACGGTGAGCATCTCTGGGAGGGACGTAGGAGATTGTGCCCATTCATTCATTAGAAGGATATTTATACAATGCCTAAATGCTTGTTCTGTGCCTAGGACTATGCTAACTGGTGAGGATAGAACAGGCAAAAACCAAGTGATCTTGCTCTGAAGGAGTTCTAGAATTAAACACATGGAGATGGGCAGTGAACACATTTCTGAATTTAAACCCTGATTATGGGTTTGCCTGTGTCATTGACTATTTGCTGTATGGCAAACCCAGTGTGAAGTGATGTGGCCAGGTCTCAAAAATGGTTCTATACTAGGTATGTCCCATGTCCTAGAGAGGAGACTCTCTGTAGGCACTAGAAAGTATCCTATCAGAAGGATCCATCTTGTTCTTCCTCCCCCTCCAGGGCAGCCTTTTGACCCTCACTTCAAAATCAACAATGCAGTTTCCAATATCATTTGCTCCATCACCTTTGGGAAGCGATTTGAGTACCAGGATGGTGAGTTTCAGGAGCTGCTGAGGTTACTGGATGAGGCCACATACATGGAGGCTTCAGTGGCAAGCCAGGTAAGTCAGCTCCCTTTCTATATCGTAGGTCAGGATATTGTCAGATGTAGATAGATTTTCATTTTGGAGTTTTTTGAGGGCTCAAGAGTTGAAATTAGAATACATCCTTTTAAATTCAATCACAATCAAAATGTATTTGAAATCAATTTGTGGAAATCAATTTGTAGTCCTACTAAAAGTAGTATTAAATATTTACCAGATGTTTATATTTCTAATATTCTGTAAAGCACAAAATTTTAAATTTGATTACAATCGAAATGTATTTGAAATCAATTTGTGGCTATCAATTTGTAGTCCTACTAAAAGTAGTATTAAATATTTACCAGATGTTTATATTTCTAATATTCTGTAAAGCACAAAATTTTACATGACATACATCTACGCAGCTATCTTGTACTATTTATTTATTTATTTATTTATTTATTTATTTTGAAGCAGAGTTTCATTCTGCACCCTAGGTAGAGTGCAGTGTTGTCATCATAGCTCACAGCAACCTCAAACTCTTTGGCTGAAGGGAGCCCCTTGCCTCAGTCTCCCAAGTAGCTGGGACTACAGGCACCCAGTTATTTTTAGAGATGGGGTCTCACTCTTGCTCAGGCTGATCGTGAACTCTTGAGCTCAAGCAATGCCCCTGCCAGGGCCTCCCAGAGTGCTAGGATTACAGGCATGAGCCACCCTGCCAGGCTAGTTTTTTTCTATTTTTGGTAGAGAAGGGATCTCGCTTGCTGACACTAATCTAGAATTCCTGAGCTTAAGTAATCCACGGGCTTGGCCTGCCAGAATGCTAGAATTCCAGGCATGAGCCACCAAGCTGAGCTGGTCTATGTTGTTCTTTTTAAAAAGAACAGTTTCCCCATTGCCTTTGAGTCCCTCCTCCTCTGTGCCTCTCCCACCCACCCCTTTCCCTCTGTCAGAGGAACTCTTCCCTTTTTCTTGTTCAGCAGGTTGTTTGTTGACTCATCGGAATTGATTGCTCTTTTCCAAAAAATGTAGACCAGCATTCCGCTGTATGAACACGCCACTGCTTGTTAATCTAGTCTCTGTTGATCATCGTTTAGATTGTCGCCAGGCTTTGGATGTTATCAACACTTTGAACATTCTTATACAAGGATTTTGTGGACACATGCATTCATTTCTCTTGCATATTCGTCTGGACTTAAAAGATGCCTAAAGATTTCCAAACTGATTATGCTGCCTACAAGCACACCACTCCTTAGTATTACCAATCTTCTAATTCCGCAGGGTGTAGCCCTGGGGGTTTCAAATCTCACTTCTTCTTTTGTGGACCCTGTACCTCTAGGCCTTTGAGTCTGTCGAAGACTATATTTAACTTCTTGGTCTCCTAGCTCCTTTCCTGAAATTGGAAGACATTTCTAAGGAAAATGTATCCCCCAAGTGTAGAGTTCACCCTTAGACTTCCTTCTTCCCCTAATCCTTGCTCCTGAAATTACCTCATTCCCCTTGCGTGTGTGTGTGTGTGTGTGTGTGAGTGTGTGTTTATATGTTTACACAGGTGTGTATTTTATTTGTCTTTGTTTCCTCAGTAAAAAAGGGTTGGATTTGCATTCCTGAGTCTGTCCCTGCCAAAATTTTAAAACACTGCCACAGTTTTTATAAAAACAGCACTTCGTTTTTGAAAATCACAAATGTAAATACAAGTAGAGAGGGTACAATCATGAATCACTGTGTGCCCATCGATAACCTTCAGAAATGACCAACACAAGCTAAGCCCACTTCACCTATATCCAGGTAGCCCCTCCCTGAATTATTTGGAGAAAATTACAGACCTCAATGGTTTGATCCATTAATATTCAGTGTATAACTCACTTTAACCAAAATTAAATATTATTGCAACTGAGAAATAGGAACAATAATTATTTATTGCCCTTAAACACCTAGACACTACTCAGATATCCCTAGATGTCTCACAAATTTTTTTCTTTTTGGCCCATATTTGATATTTGTCCACTGTGTCTGTTTTATAAAAAATTTCAGGGTAAGACGAGGGTACAAACTAGGCTACATATTTGCATTTGTTAGGTAGAGACACTTTAGTTGAAGTTGTGTCCTGCACCCAACAGGTTTGCCGTATACCCTTACATTGTGCCTATTAAATGGGAGCCCGCCAATCCCCTCCCTCCTTCCTTTTCCCCCTCTCTTATTCTCCCTCCCCTCAAATTGAACTGAGTTGAGTTTTTCTCTCATGTGGGTATGTATAGCTCATCTGCTACTATAAAGCAGTATAGATACAAGCTCTTCATATTAGTACTGAGTACATTAGATTCTTGTGATGCTTTACTAAGAAGAATGTGTTCCAACTCAATCCAAGTTAATACAAAAGATGTAAAGTCTCCATCTTTGTAATGGCTGAATAGTAGTCCATGGTATATATACACCACAGCTTTTTAATCCATTCCTGAGTTGGTAGGCATTTACATTGTTTCCACATATTGGGAAGGTAAATTGAGCTGCAATAAACAGTCTACTACAAATGTCCTTATGGTAAAATGATTTTGTTCTTCTGGGTAGATGCCTAGTAATGGGATTGCAAGATCAAGTGGGAGGTCTAATTTGAATTCTTTGAGGATTCTCCATACTTCCTTCCAAAAAGGCTGTATTAGCTTGCAGTCCCTCCAGGGGTATAAAAGTGTTCCCTTCTCTCCACATCCACATCAGCATCTGCAGCTTTGAGACTTTGTAATATAGGCCATTTTCAGTGGGATTAGGTGATATCTTAGGATGGTTTTGATTTACGTTCCTTTGATGATTAGAGACAATGAGCACTTTTTTTTTTAAGTAAGACTCTCACTATGTTGTCCTGAGTAGAGAGCCATGGCGTCACATCTCACAGCAACCTCAAACTCTTGGGCTTAAGTGATTCTTTTGCCTCAGTCTCTCAAGTAGCTGGGACTACAGGCACCTGCCACAATGCCTGGCTACTTTTTGGTTGCAGTTGTCATTGTTGTTTAGCAGGCCCAGGCCAGGCACCAGCCCTCCAGCTTCAGTGTATATGGCCAGCACCCTACTCACTGAGCTACAGGTACCAAGCATATTTTCATATTTTTGTTGGCCATACTTCTGTCTTCCTCAGAGAAGGTTCTGTTCTTGTTCTTGCCCAGTGATAGATAAGATTATTTACTCTTTTTTGTAGATTAATTTGATAATCTTAGTTATTAAGCCTTTGTCAGATTCATGACATAAAACTATATTTTTCCTATATTTAACTATATTTTCCTATATTTAACTATATTTTTAACTATAATCTTAGTTATTAAGCCTTTGTCAGATTCATGACATGAAACTATATTTTTCCATTTTGAAGGTTGTCTATTTGCACTAATTGTTGTTTCTTTAGCTGTGCAGAAACTTTTCAGTTTAATTAAGTCTGATTTCTGTATTTTTGTTGTTGCAATTGCCCCTGAAGCCGTCTTCATAAAATCTTTCCCCAGGCTTACTTACTTAAGAGACTTTCCCCACAATTTCTTCTAGGATATTTATCACTTCATGTCTTAGAATTAAATCTTTTATCCATCTTGACTCAATTTTTGTAAATGGTGAGAGGTGCAGGTCCAGTTTCAGTTTTTTACGTGTGGTCATCCAGTTCTCCCAGGACTACTTATTGAGAAGGGACTCTTTTCCCCAGTGTCTGCTTTTGTTTGGTTTATCAAAGACCCTATGGGTAAAAGACACTGGTTTCATCTCTTGGTTTTCTATTTGATTCCATATGTCTAGGTCTCTATTTTTGTGCCAATACCACGCTGTTTTGCGCACTGTGGGCTTGTAATAAAACCTAGAGCCTGGTAGAGTGATGCTTTGGGCTTTGTTTTTATTACTAAAACTTGCCTTGGTTATATTTTTTGTGGTTCCATATGAAACACAGAACTATTTTCTGTTGGTTCCTCTTCATGTATGTTTTCTTTTTGTTTACTCTCTTCCTCTACTTTTCCCTATAACTGCCTTTTTCACTTTAAATTTTCTTGTCTCAGAGCTTAGGTGTTGAAGTGGCCTTTTGGCATAAGGTTAAAAGGAAGAGACGGGTAAGAAGCAAGAAGAGAGAAAAATAAAAAGATAAAGAATGAAAAAAGAAAGGAAAAAAATGAAGAAAAAGGGAGAAGAAGAACAGAAAGAGAGAAAGATAGCTACAGAAAAAACAGTGTCATTTGGCAGGGTGCTGTGGCCGCACCTGCAACTCTAGGACTTTGAGGGGCCTGGGTTGGGCAGGTCCCTTGAAGTCAAGGTCTCCTTCCTAGCCTGGGTGAAAGCAAGACCCAATCCCCACCAAATATAGAAAAAGATCAGGAGTATATTACGGTGGAGATCTACCAATACCATTTTTCCAAAGGTCAAAGCTAAAAGGACACCCTAGGTCATGAGCTCATGGCCTTCTTAAGCCAGACCAGTGCTATGAACACCCAGTCCTCAGAGAAAAGAAAATAATAATAATAATAATATGGATAGTTAAAGAAAATTAAAAATACAATTTAATAATATGAATAGTTAAAGAAAGTTAAAAATACAATTATGTATGAGGGAAAAGAGAGATATCTTAATTGTTGTATGAGAAATTTATGTGGGAAACATGAGAAAAACAGAAGAATCTCTACAAATAGAGAGAAAGAAGGAGAGAAATAAAAAATAAAGAATAAAATGGTCTGAAAAACCCTAATCAAAATGGAGGAGCCCTTGCTACTGAAGAAGGTAAAATGAAAATATAAAAATACAGCCAAACCAAATAAAAAACAATAAGAACAACAGCGAACAAGAAAAAACCTAAGGGAAAAATTGAGAAAAATATCAATAAATGAAAAGAAAAAATATTGTGTGTGTGTATGTGTGTGTTGCAGTATATTGCCTGGATGATGGGAAACACACACCCTGGTTTTGCTGTATAAGGAGGGAACCAGAACCACTTTGTAGTTGCAGAGGGGTCTCACTCCTGTCTTCCTGATTTATTTGCCCTCAATCTTGGTCTGGTGGCTTTGTTAGCATTCAGTCCCCATGGAACTGGGATCCTGAAGCTCTCACCAGATTTCATAAGAGGAATGTCAAACAGTGTCCCTGACAACAAAGTGGCCTTCCCTGGAGGTGTGAGGGCTGTTCAGCCACCCTCAAGGATGGTTGCCTGAGCTCAGCTGGCATACAGACCCAGCCGTGCACTAGACCCTGCCAACTGTTCCTTCCATGGGGCCTTCCCACAATGTCAGCACCCTACTTGTAGCCAAGCCAAGGGAGATCTACCCTCCCACCCAGGACTAGCCACCAGATGCTATTGGAGTTTACTTGCTCACTTCAGCTCATTTCCAAGGCAGCTCCTGCAAGCAGCTCAGTCCAAAATCCAGAAACTGCAGAACAGCCCTTTCCTGTTCTTAGCCCTCTGCAGGAGGGCTAGCCACCAGCCTCTGCCCATGTCCAGGCACTTGCCTTCTGTGCTGGTCTTCCTCAGGTCAGACCTACTCCCTGACTCCTGGAATCTCCTACTGCTTCCCAAAGAGTGATGTTTCTGGGTAGGTTTCCCCCAGCCAGAGGTGGCTGGAGGCCACTCTCCCCTGTCACATTGCAAGTGGCTGGTAAAGAGATGTCTCTAGTCCACCACCTTGCTCCACTTTCCTAGGGGTGTCCCTTAGGGATCATTTAAGCCATGGATTCTTGCCTATCTTTTTTTCTTCACAATTTATTATTGACAGAACTGACTCCATTAGAGTATTCCACATTATGGATTTTACTGATTGAATTCCTCTGGTTTTAACATGTTCTTCTATTTCTGTGTTTTATAGACATTGGAAACTAAATCTAGAGCACTGATCAAGACAAGATTTTATTTTTTGATAAGGCTGCTATTTTAGGGGGTACTTAATGTCAGTCTGCCTCATGTTAATATTAGGTTCAGCTATTATCACTCTGATCCATCTATTATATCATTTCTCTTCTGCTCTTTACCTAAAGGTTAGAAAAATTATTAATGATAACTGCTTACATGCATGTACTGTTTCTTTGCAATGTTCATATCGATGATACTGTAATTCTTTTTTCCCTCTTTGCAACTAATTTATGGTTATTGATTTTTGTATCAATCAACTTTGGTAAATTGTTAATATTATAATTAATCCCTGGATAACTTCACAGGCAATCATATCTAAGTAAATAATAATATCTTTGTTTCTTTCTTTCCAATTCTTTTCCATTAATTACTCTTTCTTGCGTCATTGTGCTGGCTAGAGTATCCAGTGTGCTAAAATTCCCTCCTAAGATGGCGTGACAGGGAGAGTGGACTCCAGCCACCTCTGGCTGGGGGAAACCCACCCAGAAACATCACTCTTTGGGAAGCAGTAGGAGATTCCAGGAGCAGGGAGTCTCCCATTCTCATTCTATTTCTGTCCATTTTTACTTTATCTTTTTTACAGCAATTTTATTAGACACATACATGTTTAAATCATTATTTCCTCCTAGTAACAGAAACTGTGTTAACTATTTAGTAGCATTCTTTGTGTCTATTAATGTTTTCCTTTCTAAAGACTGTTTTCTGGTATGAATCTAGGAAACTGTCTTTCCTTGGTTTTGTGTCTGGTTACTGCTCTCTATCCTTCTACATTCTATCTTCCTGTGCACTTATATTTTAGAAATCTCCTTTTTAAACACCATAAGCCACAATATAACCTTCATATCCAATCTGAAAACATTTGTCTTTTGGTTGGACCATTTCATTCCTTTTCTTTTAACCAAAATTATTAGTAAATTATAACTAAGTACTCATCATTTTGTGATTTCCGTTTATCTGTTCTTTTGTCCTTTTTTGACTTATTGTGACTGAATATTCTTCTCATTTTATTTTCCCCTCTTTTTATTTAGAAAATGAACAGGATATTTATATTATTTTAGTCTTTAACTTAAAATTTTAATATTCATAATTAAACCTCCAAAATCAGAAATTAGTATCTTTATCCTCCTCAGGAGAGGGTATGAACTTTGGAATACTACGTTTGAACAATCGTCTAGGCTACTAAGGTTATGCATTTTAGTTTGTTCTTTTTTAAATTCAAAAGTATACATGATTTTTACTGTTTGATGCAGGAAATGTATGCTTGTATTTATCCACATAGTTGACAGATTTTTTACATCTTGCCATTTGTGTTTCACAGCTTCCTCTTGAATTTCCTTTAGTGAGGGTCAGTTGGTGGAAAAATTTTTCAATTCCAGTTATTAAAAAATCTCTTTTTTCTGTTCTAATTAGAAATTTTGTATATCAACTGTTTTTTTTTTTCTGTTTATTTGCATGGGGAAAATCTTATTCCACTGTCCTCTGGATTCCCACTGGTACCAGGGAAAGTCAGCTAGAAGTATAATTGCTGTTCCTTCAAAATATGTTTTTTTCTTTCTCTCTGGCTGCATTTAAGGCTTCACTTTCTTTATTCAATGATGGATTTATTTTTATTTATTCCTGACAAGCAGCTTACCTGGAACTTTGTGGACCCACCACTTCAAAACTGATATAGTAGTCAGCATGATTCCTGACATGTGAAAGGGTACAGTGAATATCAGCCGCATCACTGTCCAAGTTACGTTGAGGTGCTGCAGTCTCCAGTTCAGCAGTTCTGTTTCTCTTTCTTCCTACTAGGACAGAGTCTAGGAAGCCATGAGAGTGCAGTGAGTGCCTAGTTGACTCCTGAGTACATGTCTCCAGGAAAAGAATCCAGGGGAGCCGGGTAGGGTAATAAGCATTTCTTGAGGTCTCAGAACATTCCTGGCACTCTAATGGCAAATTACACATGCTTTATCTTCATTAAGTTTCATAACAACGCCAAAAAGATAAAATGAAGCCACACACAGTATGTGCAAGCTGGTGTGGAAGTATGAAAGCAAGTACAGAGAGTAGTCCACCAGCTCTGTGTCACATGCTCTGTGTCCCCAGCGTCATGCTAGAGCCCCACAGCACAGACAGCTAGTTCCATTAGTTCCATGAGGATCAACAAGGGACACCATATATTGTTATTGTCATTGCTGTTCCCAAAATATTGTAACTAGAAAGCAGAACCAATACTTACCCTATGTCTGTTTCATTTTAAATCTAGGCATTTTTGCATTATGTTATGTTCTCTGTTTCTTACCAGGTGTCAGAGAAAGTTTACTCAACAACAACTTTATTTGCATGAAAAACATGAAGTCTTACCCACATGGAATTCATACCATAGTGGGAGAAACAAATGTCATTGTCACACACACACAAACACACATACACTCATTAGTCATAATTGCCATGAAGAAAAACAAAACAGGACAAGGGACTAGACAGTTGGTGACAGAGGTGCAGTCACTTATAGGTTCATCAATCAGACAGCTCCAAGGAGGCGACATAGTGCAGAGCCCCAGTGAAGTGAGGGGCTGAGGTTAAGTAGACGTCAGAGAAGAAATTTCTAGGCAGAGGGAGCAACTTCAAAGACCCTATCCAGGAGTGTCTTTGCTGTGATCCCAGAGTCAGTGCTGGAAAATAGAGGGCAAGGTTAGGAAGGAGGTGGTGAGACTGTAGGAGCCAGGTCTGTGGGGCTTACAGGCTGAGGAGTAACATAGGACTTTGTCTTTGTGACTTGGACAGCCTCCAGAGGATTACAAGCTAGGCAGTGAAATGACAGTGCTAAACTGCTACGATCCCTTGCATTTCTGAGGAAAATAGGCTGCAAATGGGGTTGGCAATGGAACCAGAAACTGTGGAAAGGCCCTGATATAGCATCTGGGGAAGAAATGGTGGTTTGTACGAGGATGGCAAGCCACTGAGGTGGTCTGAAGCTGGGTATATTTTGGACAGGACAGAGAACCGAAGTGCTTTGCTAGTGGGGTCAGAGGGAAATAAAAGGGGTCTAGGCTGACCAAGGTTTCAGTTTCAGCAACTAAAATAGATGGGAAGGAAAGTTGGATTCTGTGGGACTAAAGGTGAAAACGTGGAACAACTTTGTCTCCATGATTGTTTTTCTCAATCAGCTCTACACTATCTTTCCATGGATAATGAAGTTCCTTCCTGGTTCTCACCAAACTGTCTTCAGAAACTGGGAAAAACTGAGATTGTTTGTGGCTCACATCATTGAAAAGCACAAGAGAGATTGGAATCCTGATGAAACAAGAGACTTCATTGACACTTACCTCAAGGAAATTGCCAAGGTGAGGAAACCAAACTTGTTTCCTATGTTACGTTCTTTAAGATCAAACAGGGCTGTATTAGTTTCTAACTGCTGCTGTAACAAATTGCACAAACTTGGTGGCTTGAAATAGCACAGATCTGTTCTCCTACAGTCCTGGATGTGGGAAGTCTGAGATCAGTCTCCTGGAACTAAAGTCGAGGGATTGACTCGGCTTGCTCCTTTTGTAGGCTCCAGATAAGAATCTGTTCTCATGCCTTCCTGGCTTTGAGAAGCTGCCTATATTCCTTGGCTTGTTGCCCTATCCTTCATCTTCAAATCCAGCAGAACATCCTCCCTCTGTCCCCTGGGATCTCTGCTCTATCTTTACATCTCTCCCTCTGGCTTTAATGTTCTCACCTCCCCTTCTTATAAAGACTCTTGTGATGACATTGGTCCCTTTAGGTAATCCTTTGTAATTTTCCAATCTGGAAATATTTAACTTAATCCCATCTTCAAAGTTTCTTTTTCCATATAAGTTAACATCCAAGGTGCCAGGGATTAGGATGTGGGTGGACATGTTTGTGGGCTATTCTTCAGCCTATCACAGGGGAGTCAAATGGTTATAGCATTTCAGAGTGGAGAAGGCAGTATTAACTCAGAATTTATTAGCCAATGAATGATAAAGTTGGGGGATTAATGTAAACGCCCAGCACTACTTTTCATCCCCCATGGTCTCCCTTCTACTCACATCTGATTGGGCTATGCCCCTGGGGTAAACAGCAACTGAACCTCCAACCTCTGTTTTATCACTTGTGGACCTGGAACCAATGACATGCCCTGCTCCCATCTCCACTGCAGAACACAAGGATGATGCAATGAATGGCAGAGTTTAACCATTGGGTGCAAGTGGGCTGTGCCTTCCCCCTTCTCCCCCACAGCATTCCTTTCCAACAATAAAGGCCAGAAGACTGGAGGGAGAGGGCAAACTGGACATGTGCCCTTTTCCACAGTGGCCATCTGGCTAATAGACATCACTGAGTCAGTGCCGTCATGTTTGTACATTAATTATTGAGTTCATCTAACAGAATGGGCAGAATGGTGGATTTCTTCCCCTCTTATAGGACCTCCTGGCGTAACATTAATAGGGGCATTGTCTTCTTGCCAAGGCCACCGTGCTTGATGGTGTGGTGTGAGACCATTAATATTAAGAGCAAGTGGGACAAATGGAAGCTTCCAGAGCAGCTTGGGAGAGCTGGTGGGGTGTCATGGGGAATGGTTATGGAATCAGAATGTTTCAATTGGAAAGGAAAAAATTAAGGAGGAAATTGGAGAACTGTTTCTCATAAGAGGAATTGTATTTCATCTTTGTGTTTTCAGTACAAACACATGTTGGGTATTTGCTATGTACCCTCACATCTCACATATTTCATGATGTCATCTTAAGGGGTGAACATGGTTTTTTCCATTTTGTAAAATAGGAAACCAAAGCACAGAAAGGTTGAGTAAGTTGTCCTCGGTCCTCACTGCTAAGTGAAGTGGCCGATGTTGGAGGCAAATTGTCTTGGTGACAGCCTGCTTTCCTACCACTGGACTAACAGCTTCTCCCAAATTACAAGCATAAGAACATAGTTGCTTGTCATTTTCATCCTCTCAAAGAGCTTCCTGAGGCAGGGCAATGCTAGTGGTGATGCTGTAATCAGCCTTTGCCTCCTGGAAAAGCCAAAGGAAAGCTTTTTCTTCTGGAGACCTTTATTTCCACACCCCTCCTAGGATGAAGCCCCTGCATGTTATGGAATCATCTGATTAAAGCAAAAAATAGCACTAACTATTATTCTTCCTAGAATGCCAGCAATGCCGCCTCAAGTTTCCATGAAGAGAATCTCATCTGGTGCACTCTGGACCTCTTCTTTGCTGGAACTGAGACAACTTCCACCACCCTACGCTGGGGGCTGCTTTACATGGCCCTCTACCCAGACATCCAAGGTGGGTTGTCAGTGTGTATGCCCACCCCAGGACAGAGTGATGCCTTCCAGAGTGCAAGGCCCAGAGTTGGGGCCAGATGAGAACATGGCAGAATGGAAAGAGAGGAGAAGGTTCTGGGATGACGGGGACATGGGAACAGGAACATTCTTCACACCATCCGCCAGGTCTGGGGTGGGTTCAGGTAACACAAGTATAAGAGAAAAACCCTGTCTTCAAGAAGCTCAAGTCAAGGGGGAAAATAGTGAGGTGAGTCAAGTTCCTGGAAAGTCCCAGGGAAGAGTTCCAGTCCCATGAGGAAATCTGGTGGTGCCCTTCCCTTCTTTTAAGTATCGACTCCCACTGCTTCCTGGGTCATGTCCAGACCCTGGAGTCTGGTATGATGTCTCTGAGGTCCCCTTCTCTCTGTCCAGTCTTGGCCCCACCACCCATGGTGGCCTCACTACCCCACATGTCATTTTCCTTGCTCTGTCCTTGTGTGTGCCTCTGTGTCATGACCTCTGCTCTTGCCTCTGCCAAGAATGTGCTTCCTCAATTTCTCTACACAGTAAACTTGCATCTCTTCCTGGAGAATCTGCTCAAATGCTACCTCCTTAAGATATGTCTCCACCCCCTTGGAAATATCAGTATTTTCTCCCTCCAGAGATGACTCACTTGGCCTCCATTAGTGGGATTATGACGCATTGTTTAGGTAGCTCCCACAGCTGGGCTCCACCTGAGAACAGTTCCTGTCATCATTCTTTGATCACATGCAGATGGGAACTGTTATCATGCAGTTTTTCAAATCATGGGTGACATTTATTAATGAGGTTACATCAATTTAATGGATCAAGTCAACTTTTTTTAAAGATAAGGATAAGAAGAAAAGACCAGTGTATTTCCCAAGTTCTAAGGGTGTTTCTTTATGGCACTGTACTTCTTTGATATAGATTAATTAATGTGTGCTTTCCATGTTTATATACTTACGTACATGCATCTTCAGTCATGATGTGCAATGCAGTTTTTACTGTGCGTTACAATTTTTAAAAAGTTTCAAAGCTGCTGAGTTAGGGTGTAGGTATAGCTCCCGGAATAGAGGCCCCCAAATGAAAATGAATTCACATGATAGAAGTTTATACTCAAGTTAATACAACATTTTACATTAGCTAAGAGGAGGAAGCAACACAGTGTTCACCGATGATGAAGGGATGAACAGATCGTGGAATATATGTGCCAATGGCATGTTATTCAGTCTTAAAAATAGAGGAAATTTTGACACACACCACAACATGGATAAACCCTGAGGACAGTACTGTAAGTTAGAAAATCTAATAACAACATAAAAATACTGTGTGATTCCACATATATGAGTTATCTAGAGTGGTGACATTTATAAAAACAGAAAGTAGAATGGTGCTGGCTGAAAGAGAAAGGAGGGGAAATGGGAAAATGGGTGTAGAGTTTCAGTTTTGCAAGATGAAGATGTTCTGCAGACTGCCTGCCCAATGATATGAACATACTTAACATTACTTAACTGTACTCGTAAAACTGGCTTAGATGGTACACTTTATATTATATATACTTTACCCCAATTAAAAATAGTTTTAGATATCAACATTCATTAAGAGATAGAATTTTATCTCTCTCAGGTAAAACAAAACTAACCTGGACTTTGCTAAGCCCCTTCGGGTTTTAACCTTACAACCGGCGGTTGTACCTGGAATGATGCCCCAGTTGGCTGTCTATATGACAGCTCACCCCTAGGGCTGACATTCCACCAGTGGGAAGGTACAAAGGGGAAACACGTACTTTTCGGGCTTGATCTCAAGATTAATCATCACTTTTGCTGATAGTCCTTTGCCCAGAACTGAGTCGCATGGTCACACTTAGTAACAAGGAATCAGGGAAATGTGTACCTTAGCTATAGACCCAGTTATCCAGGTAAAATCTTTAAAGAAAAATTGATATTGGAGGACCAGTTTCTATCATTTGTTGCATACTGAGCTAAGTTGGTTTATATAAATCCTGAAACATCCTTTAGATGAAGGTGAATTTCGCCTCACTAATTAGATGAGTGAGATTTTAACTAACTCATGGCAGCAAAGTTGAAGAGCAGAGTTTGCAACCCCTCTGGGCTTACTTCCTACTCTTATGCATCTCCTGAGAAACTAGAATCTACAGCTCTGCTGTGATCTGAATGTTTGTGCCCCTCCTCCCAAATTCACATGGTGGTGATATTAGAAGGTGGGAACCTTCAAGAGGTCATTAACTCCCATATACAGATTACTACCCTTATAAAGACCTCCCAGTGAGAGAAGCCACTTGTATGCTAGAGAGTGGGTCTTCATTAGAACTGAACCTTCTGGCATCTTCATCTTGTACTACCCAGTCTTCATAACAGTGAGAGATTAATTTCTGATGTTTATGGCCACTTAGTCCAAGGTATTTTGTTATAGAAGCCTGAAAAGACTAGAAAAGATCCCTAGAAGAACGGGTTGATCCTGGTTATTCCACTCCTTAGCTAATCAGGCTCAAAGAGCGTTATGGAACTAGCAGTTTTCTGCAAAAGGCCTTTGAAGGGTGAAGAACCATTTCATTTCTTTGTAATCTGGTCAGGAATTGAAATAGAACAGATGAGATCTTGGAGGACACTCCTACTTCATTAGGAGGAAGCATGAAGTTTTAAAAAATAATGGACTCCTTCTTCTTGTACAGAGAAAGTACACGCTGAGATTGACAGAGTGATTGGCCAGGAGCAGCTGCCAAGCGTCGCCGCCCGGGAGTCCCTGCCCTACACCAACGCCGTCATCCATGAGGTGCAGAGGATGGGCAACATCGTCCCCCTGAACGTTCCCAGGGAAGTGGCGGCTGACACCACCTTGGCTGGGTACCACCTGCCCAAGGTAACCAGGCACTATCTGCCTCAGATTTTCAACCCCTCTCTAAGGTGGTAGAAACACAAACTTGGAATGTGATGTGTTACATGCGCCTAAGGAGTATGTAAAGGGGAAGAAGTTGTGTTATGCCTCATACAATGCTACTGTCATCTCCATGTGTGGACTTTGGAACAGGAGTTTAACTAGATATGAAGAGGTATTCTGAGGAGTGGGGAAGGGAGGATTTCCAGGGCAGATATGTTCAGGCAAAGGCTGGCTTTTTTTCTTTTTTTTTTGCTGTGGGGCGTCTCAGAATTTTTATTTTGCTAAGAAATATTGTGACTTTCTGTGGGCACACGAGGGAGAAGTTCTAGGTCAGATTTTGCCACAGATGCCTTTTCTTTGCCTGGAAGAACATCTCACAGGACTAGGGACCGGGCCAGACCTTGGAAACATTCTGCCTCACAGTCCTGGGGCTGTAGAATGTGGGAATATGAGAGGACATTTAAGAATACTGGGCCCACATCACATCAATGCGGGTGTTTCTAACACAACGTCCCACAGGTGTTTCTCCACCTTTCATTTACAGCCTGGTGACGGGGCACTTGTCATCTCATAGGAGGCCAATCCCAGTGTGTGCTGTGTTAGTCATTAGGAAGGGAAAGGAGGAAACACCAGGCAGTGATTCTGTGCCGTGGAACTAACCACTTTCATAATGTCCTACTCAGTTCTCAGATAACTCTGTTATTCCTGCTTTCCTACTGGGGAGTCCAGGCTCAGATGAATTAATTTGCATGACATCTCCCAAGTCCATAGTGATGAGAGCTGGGGATCCAGAACCAGAGTTGCTCTGATTGCCTGTTCTACACCCTGCTCCCTCCACGGAGTTGCTTTTATTTAAAGGCATCTCCCTGCAATGTTATCACTTGGTCCCTTTCACATGCCCTGTCCTCATAAGGAATTCTGACTCGCTCCACCTGCCACTCAGGACCTCTGCAGACGGCTCTCCTGCGCCCCCTGGCGTCCTCTCTCCACACTGACATTCTCAGTCCTGCTCTGCTCCCCCACCACCTTGGGGAACCTCTGGGCTCTGCTGGGTTATCTATGCATCTCCAATTGTGTCCCACCCGAGAAAGATCTCAGAGGTAGAACTCAGAACTTGCCCATTGGATACTGCAGGGTCACTGTCCTTTTCTCCTTCCTCACTGACTGACCTTCATGTGGATAAAGGCTGAGGGCTAAGTTCCCGGGTGCTACTTGCATTTCTCTAGCAATTCCCTGAAATCAGAGAACCAGCCCAGCTCAGCAGACTTCTTCTACCACTGATTTTAATGTCAGCCTTGACAACCGTCCTGGGAACTGAGAAATTGAATGAACTATGTGTTACAGAGCCTAGAGCCATGGCTTGGACACCAACTTGACCTAGTTCCAATCATAGCTCCACCTTCACACACTGTGGGGTTCTGGAAATGACACTTAACCTCCCAGAGATTCTTCATCTGTAAAGTGCATTTAACCTGCCTCATGGGATTGACAAGATGAAATGAGATCATGCTTATAGAGAATTCAACACAGGGCTTAGTATAGAAATGCTCACAATTTCTTGCTAATTCATCAAGTATTTGGTAAGCACCTGAAATGCTCAGGTTGGGAAAACAACTCTGAGCCTAAATAACCGTGCAGTGTATTGTTAATAACCCGTGACAACTGCCCAGGAGAAAATCCTCACGGGGGTCTGTAAGATGCAGCCAGAGAGGAGAGGGCAGGGAAGGCTTCTAGGAAGGGACATTTGGGCCAAAGATTGGAGATGATGAGGAGTGAGCTGAGTCACAAACTGGGATGAAGGACATTCCTGGTGAGCAAACAGCATCTAAAAGGCATCGATAGGACAGGGCACGTGGCATGTTTGAGGAGTGAAAGAAGCCACCGTAGCAGGAGCACAGGCAGAGGGGCAGAGTGGCCCAGACAGGGGCCAGAGGACCAGGCTTCACCCTGCGAGGGATGAGAAGCTGCTGAAAGGTCTTGAGTCTGAGGCATCAGCCTTGTGGGGGTGATGTGAGGAGGTCGTGCTGGAGACTCGCTCTGCTTTTAGGGCATGGAGCAGACTGAGAGGAGTGGCAGGGGGCACAGCAAGGAGGAGCCATTACAGGACAGTGGCAGCCCAGACTAAGGCTGGGGGACATGGGACTGAGGTGACAGAGTCAGGAGAAACTGAACATAAACTCGACCAGTCTGGCTGACGGGTTGGATGGAGGCCAGGAGAGAAAGGCTCACTCCAGGGCATCCTGGCTGTCTTAGTATGTCCCTGGATGGAGAGGGACATAGCTCCCCTCACTGGCCTACCTGATGCTGTCACTGAACCTAATATTGACAGTGCACTAGACCCTGGAGGGAAGAGAATAGGAAAAACAGGCGAGTGGCACCCTGGACCCAGGTGCAGCTCCATGGATAGCCGTGGAGACCACCACATGGAGAAGGTGGATGGAGCAGTGGTCATGTGTTCTCTCCCCAATGCATACCTGTCCCCTCCCAAGACCCACACTGACCTTTCCCTGTAGGAAAGATAGACTCTGCAGTCAAAAGTAGGCAAACGTCGGGTTCCCAGCAGGCACATGCAGTTCCATTTGTCAGTTGTCCCTGCAAAGAGGAGGCCCTGGGGTGGGCTCAGGAGATGTGGGTGGGTTGGGGTCAGGCCCCGGCAGGGAAGCCCAGGCCCCACTGCCCCTCTGTGTTGGGGAGATACATGAGTTAAGCCTTGCCTGAGTCTTGCCTCCTTCTCCAGGGCACTATGGTCTTGACCAATCTGACCGCACTGCACAGGGACCCCGCCGAGTGGGCCACACCGGACACGTTCAATCCTGAGCATTTTCTGGAGAATGGACAGTTTAAGAAAAGGGAAGCCTTCCTGCCTTTCTCGATAGGTGAGTTGTAAAGAACAGGAATGTGGGGTGCAGACTGCCTCTCCCAGCTGTCCCCTGCTCTTCTCCCCACAGCGCCTGCCTGAGCTGCAGTGTCTGCAGACAGCCCTGGCTGGTGGGACCCCATCTGCCTGTGGGCTGCAGCTCCAGGACTGGCTGGGCAGCGCTTCAGACTGTTCTTCCTTCCTGCAATCTCCTGCCTCCACTGGAGATGCTGATTTCTCTTGTCCTGTCCCTAGAACACTGGGGACAGAGACCCTGAACCACCTGTCACTTATAAAGGTTGGCCATCTGCCATCTTTAAGTTTTTCAATGTGGTAGTAAGTTCTTTTTAAGGGATGTCCCTCACACAGAAACAGAGCTGAGCTGTACTAAGGAGAACGGGAGGGGCGGGAAAGGGGTTACTTAAAAGGCCTGACAATTAAGTTTGCGAACTTGTCCTTGCGAACTTGTCCTAGAAAAAGTGCTACATCTCTATTGCTAAGTGTCACTATGGGCACCTTCAAAGTGCTTCCTTTGGGAAGCTGTGAAACAAAGTCTGTGCCTAGTGCACCCTTCAGAGCAATGTAGGATCTCTTTTCCTGGAATGACCATCAGATTTGTCATCGTGCAGCACACAAAAACACATGACGACAGTGAATGCCGTTCAACAAAACACTGCCACAGGTCAACATGCACCCAGGTGGGAGACCTTGTCTACCAAGGTCATGGACCCTTCCTGAGCTGTTTGTACGGTGTTGTGAATGTGAGTGCATGGTGGCATGTTTGCAAACTTAATTATTAGACCCCGTACGATGACAGCTCTGGTAGATTCTAGGATTATATATATATTTTAGTTTTTCCTTTATACTATTTTTCATGCTGATTTTTTTCTTCTTCTGTGGATGTACATTAGGGAGGAACTAAGTTCATGTTCAAGATAATGAGAGAAAGTTAGCAATATAGAAAGAAAAATAGAATGAAGTCTGGGGCGTTGGGTTGCATCAGAGGTAGTTGGTACGTCCTCAGATTTTTATAAGTACAGAAATAGATGTAAATCTGGGTACCTATACACACATTTGAATATATACCCACATTACATACGGACATATATCCCCAGCTCTGTCTGGGGAGATGACACGGGAGCAGCAGCATCTGGACAGAGCTGAGCACACCCAGGACCCAGACCTTCATCTTTGCAGGTCATAGGCACAAATGGGAACCAGGACTTTTGGAAAAAATGGCTGATTTCAGAGCTGGGGAAGAGCAAGTATGAGATTAACCTGGAGTGCATTGTCATGCCAAAAAGGCAGGACATGCCAGGTTGAACAGCCATCAGATGGTGAAATCTGGAATATTTTGAGCATCAAAACAAGTAATAATAGTAACAGATTATAACCACTGGCATAAAGATGGGAATCTCCTAAATCCATCCTGACATAAATAAAAGGGGCAGAGGTCAAGCGTATCTTTTAGTAGAATGCTAACTAGACAATGTGGAAGCTATGATAGAATTTTTTAAAAATCTCACTTTGGCCACCATCAATAATAAAAGATGTGGGCAAGAAATAGCAGTGGAAACTAGTAGACGAAAGTTCAAGCAGGAATGGTCTATTAACATACTCTCACAGTAGTTATTAATTACTAAGAGAGAAAGAATAATTTTGTAAGGGAGACCTTGGTATATAGTAGACACCGCTTCAGTCAAGTGATAATGGAACAAAGGAAAATTTTGTGCCACCTGGTGGGATATGATGAGAACAGCACAGTCCACCTCTGCGACTTTCCTTCCAAAAATACAGAGCTCCCCACACCAGCCAATGCAAGGAAGCAGGAGAGAGGTTTACAAAGTAACTGGGCTGGGACGGCACCTGTGGCTCAAGGAATAGGGCGCTGGCCCCATATACTGGGGGTGGCAGGTTCAAGCGTGGCCCTGGCCAAAACCGCAAAAAAAAAAAAAAATAAGTAACTGGGCTATAATCTTTAAAATGTCCAGAACCATGAAAAGTGTCTGAGGATGAGAAATTATTCCAGACTGAAAGAGACTAAAGAGATGTAATAGCCAAAGCAACACGTAACACTGCTCTGGACCCTTCCTAATAAAGGGCATTACGGGGACAACCTGAAAAACCTGAAAGGGGCCTGAGGATAAGACGGGGCAGGTGATGCATCAGCGTTAATTTCCTGGCCTGGCTGGTTATTTGGTGATTATGTTGGGCAGTGTCCTTGTTTGTAGAAAATACATACTGAAGATCTAATGGGGAAGGCAGGCAATTTGCTTTCAATTAACTCAAGAGAAACAGTTATGTATATTATTCTGGCAAGTTTTTGTATATTTGAAATTATTTTGGAATAAAGGCACATTATGGAAAGAACCAGAGTAAAGAACTGCAATGTGCGGAAAGCCGTTTTAATAACACTGCTGCACAAATGTTTCATTTAAAGGCCATATTTTATTTTTATTTCTTTTTAGACACAGGGTTTCTTTCCCTTTGTCACGCAGGCTGGTTGAGTAGCAGTGTCATAGCTCACAGCACCTCAAACTCCTGGGCTCCAGCGATGTCCTGCTTCAGCCTCCTGAGCAGCGGGGACTGCAGGCCTGCCCCGCCACGCCTGCTCTATCTTGTGTAGAGATTGGGTTACACTATATTGTTCAAGCTGGTTGAACTCCCAGCCTAAACCATCCTCCCACCTCAATTTCCCAAACTGTGTGGGGATTACATGTGTGAGCCACCAAGCCTACACAAAGGTCATTCTTTAAATTGTATTTTTCTTTTTTTGAGAATTAACCACATCAAGTTAATGATAAGCTATTATACAACTAGAATGTTTACTGTTATCCAGGTCACATTTTAAATATTTCATTTAGCTGTATAAATTATTAAATTATTTGACCCGTTTGGATTCAGCGTGTAGCCTACACAACATATAAAATAAAGTTCTCATCTTAAACATATACATTTTCACTAATGCCTAGAGAGGTTACTTAATTTGCCCCAAGACATGACTAGAAAGTGGGCAGATTGAGTTACAGCTCTGTCCTCCTGACTCCAGATCACACACACACAACAGGTTGTTTACGTGAGCAGGGCAGTGCCAACTGTGAGCTGTGGAGAGCAGGACACAGCCTCGGGCCCCACTTTGGAAGCAGTGGCTTGTGTGGGGACAGGACCAGTGTGTGTGAGGACCAGGCAAGGAGGGAGGCCGGAGTAGTTCCTGTGTGGAGGGCCGCACATGCCCGTGGGGTCTCAGCACCTG